TCAGGGCTGGGCAGTCCGGCTCCCGGGGGTCGTCCTCACAGGCCGAGGAAGTCCTCCTTCCGGTACCCCTTCTGCAAGGAGACAGGCCACCCGTCACACGGGGGGGACGCCAGTGCCATCACCTCCCCTGCCTGAGGACACCCCTGCCCATGCCTCGCTGGGTGGTGGGAATGCGAACACAAACCCACTCTGCTCTGGCACTGACAGGGCCACGCTGTCCCCACGCTGGGCACGTGGCTGTCCCCACCCCACTGGTGCCACCACAGGGACGATGCTCTGGGGACATCCCCGCCCCTTCAGGAGGGGGAGGCGTGGAGTTGGGGCCCATCGTATGCCTGGAAGCATTTGGGTGGCGTGGCTTTCTGGGGTGAAGCCCCTGGCCTTGACTCCCTTGGGATCCACCCCAGGATCCCACTGGCTGGAGGAGGCACCCGAGGGTGGTACGTACCATCTTGAAGTCCCGGTGGAGCTTGGTGTATTGCCACATGTTGCCCAGGAGGCTGGCTGCTGCTCTGGAGGACTTCTCGTTGTCCGAGCTGGGACAGGGAGAGGATGCAATGAGCTTTGGGTACTGCTGGCCACAGGATGGTGCCCAGCAGCGCAAGGATACCACCCCAGAAGGGCCTGGAGGGGCTGAGGACTTAGTGCTGGTGGGAAGAGGCAGAAGACTAAAGGCTGGAGCCCACCACAATGGGCAGGGTGGCAAGCGCTTCTGGCAGGAGAGGTGAGAAGCACCCAGATGGGAAGAAGGTGGCTGCAACGATGGGCCAACCCCGTGATGGGGTGTCTTGAGGAGGTAGCAAAAGGCTGGAAAGTGGCCACGAGGCCACCCTGAGCTGGTTTGGGGACTCCCAACACCAAGCCTTGGGAAGGGAGACTGGTTGTGACCCTCCTCCACCTCGCTGGACCAAGGGAGGAAGGGGAGAGCAGGACCGGACCCCAGGTCCGACCTGGGACAGTCGAGTGGACAAGGAGCTCCCACCTGTCCCTTCTCTTCTTGATGTAGAAAAGCTTCCTGAGGCCATCAAAGTAAACGATGTCACGGGCAGCCATGGGGCTCTCCACCACCAGGTTGTTGAGGACCGCGATGATGTTCACGATGACGTCGGCGGGCGGCGCCTTGTCACCGACGCTCCCCGGCAGCTTCTCGATCAAGTGGCTGACCACCTTGGTCGCTGGTAGGCAAAGGCATCACATCAGGGCTGGTGGCCAGACCCAGGGGACACGCAGCAGCTTGGCAATGAACCCTGCAACCTCCCGGGGGCAATGAGGGGACAGAGGGTCCAGCGGGGCAGCACCAGGGACATCTTCAAGCCCTTTGCTCTTTGGAGTCTCTGCTGAGACTCCCTGGCACCTGCGAGTGGAGTTGGGGGATGGGGGCAAAGCCAAGTGAGATGGTGGGATTGGAGGCAGAGCAGAACCTGTGGGGAGTGTTCGGTTACGGGAGATGGGGATGGACCGGCCACCGCGCACTCAGCTGTGAGCAGGCATGCAGCAGGCCAGAAGGTGCTGAGACATGGCTGAAGGTAACTGGAGGCCAGACCAAGGAAGAAAAGGGTGGAGGGCGTCCGTCGGGCTCCTCCCCACAGCCCTGGCCCTGCCTGTCCCTCCCCAGCACTCACACATCTCGTCCTTGTTGCGGGCATGGCGGGACAGGTTGCGGATGAGCCCCGTCAGGGAGCGCAGCTGATGGTGGTCGGCGGTGCGGACGCGGTCCAGCACAGGGTTCAGGATGCGCTCCTGCTCCAGGGCCAGCCGGCTCAGCACGCCCGCCCACTGCCGAGGCAAACACCCGCTTGGAGACACCCGCCAGGGACCCACCGGCTGCCTCCTCCTCCCACCCCATCTTCCTCCTCCTCTTGCTCAACAGGGCCAGGTCAGGTGGTGAGTAGTGTGATGGCCACGTCCCCCACCCAGGAAAGGCTGGTACCCACCCGCAGGGAGGTGCATCCCCTCCCTGCGCACAGCAGTGACTGGCCAGGGGTGGGGACAACCAGGCAAGACGGGGCAAGCCCCAAGGGACGTTCCCCTCCCATGCCCTCACCCTGCGGTCCCCGGCAGTGATATTCTGCAGGGCGCCCGAGGCCGCCTCCGTCGTGTGCTTGTTGAGCTCGCAGCGCTGCAGCAGCCGGTTGTAGATGCCCACGATCTGTGGGTTCCAGAGCCACTCCATGCCCTTGGGGTCTTTGGAGACCTCCGTGAAGGTGACAATGTCTGCATTCAGGTAGTGCTGCAAGGACAGGGTCACCACTGTTAGACTCATAGGGGATGTCTCCTCTGCAGCATCCCTCGCTGCTGGTGTCCACTTTTCCCCGTGTGCCTGGCCTCAACCGTTGGGCAGCTCCAGGCTGGCAGTGACCCAGCAGGTCACCCCAGCTGCGTCATGCCCCATGGCATAGCAAAATAGGGGTTTGGCACCCTAATTCACCCCACACACCTGAATCACCCTCCGCTGAGCTCGCCCGCGTGTCCCACCCATCAGCTGAGGCCGGCATCCACCTCCGCCCCAGCGTCACCTCCACTGCCAGCTGCTTCCCAGTGCCAACCCCGCCCCAGGTGACACGGCCATCATGGTGCCCACCACCTCCCAGCCACTGACCTCTCGTGCTTTCTTGCTCTGGGGGCTGAAGCAGCCCACCAGCTCGCCCGTCACCGTGCTGCTGTTGTTCCTCCTGTGGCCTTCCAGGCGCTGGAGGGAGGACGGGGGCATTTCATCGTACAGGCGGTAGGAGAGGTTGCGCAGGACGCAGACGGCGTTCTCCACGCTCTGCAGAGGTGGGGGGATGGGACACGAGGGTGTCAGTCCTTGTGCCGCCTCTGCCAGGGCATCTCCAGCTGGCACATTCCCTGGGCCATGATCCCATGGGGGTCCATGGCCAGAGTCACCCCGATGACACCAGCGGTGCCCCACTGTGCCCAGTAAGCCTGGACAGAGCCAGATCTGTTTTCCCACCATCACATCAAGATGTGCCTTTGCACCACGATGGCCAGGCGGCTGCCAGGACGGAGGGAGCAGCACCCTGTCTGAGGGCACCCAAACCCTCCCAGCACCCAGCTCCCGGAGCTCACCTTGTCCTCTGACTTGCCCACTTCCAGGGAGCTGTTCACATAGTGGATCATGGAGTCCACCAGCCCGTGGCACTCGCGCATCTTCTGCCGAGTCTGCTGGCTGGCAGAGCTGAGATTCCTGCACGGGGAACACAGGTCCATCACGGTGAGAAGGGGCTTCCCCACGGCCACCCCCCTCCTGCCACAGGCACCACCGCGGGGAGGGCAGCTAATACCTCTCCCATAGGGTTGACCAGGCTTTGCCTTGATGCACAAGTGCTGCAAGGGATGGGGACCCCAGAAACGAGCCCTGGGGACCTTGCTCCCTATGTATACAGCACAGATGGTGTCTCTTCCTCCACCCAGAACTTTACACACAGTGGGAGGACCGGAGCCGGCCCAGAGCAGGTACCTGAGGAAGCCCGTGGAGTTGTAGAAGATCTCTGCTTCCGAGGGGTTCTGCTGGATGACACCGGAGCCCCCCAGCCCAGAGAGGGGGACCAGGACCAGGTCTGTGAGCTGCTCCAGTGTGTCCCGGGCCAGGCGATCCTTCAGGTTGTCACTGGAGGAGAGATTCCACAGGATCCCTGCGCGGAGGAGGGGAATGGCTGGAGAGCACGTCCACCCTGATTCACCTCCCCAGGGGGTCCATGCTGACCACCCGCAGCCAGGAGCACCCATGGGGCAGGGTGGGTAACAGTGAGGCAAAGACGTCATCCCCGTGAAGTGTCAGCCCAGCTTTACTCGTGGGGTGGGGGCACCATGTGCCACCCTCAGGGGAGGAGGACCCCTGCCCGCCCCTGCCATCGTCTCCAACCTGTGACATTCTTGCGGAGCTCGTCGTCGGGCTCCCGCAGCGTCCGCATGAGCTCGTAGATGCCGTTCTCCTCCACCAGCGCCAGCTTGTTCTCGGCGTTGTCGTAGATGAGGTTGCGCATGGCGCCCGTGGCATGGCGCTGCACCTCCTGGTTGGGGCTGTTGAACAGCTTCACCAGCTTGGGCATGGCCTGGAGGCTGCGGGCCTGGGAGGGGAGAGCCCGGCCGCATTGAGACGACCAGCCGCTTTCCTGAGACGCCCAGCCGCTCTCCTTGCTGTCCTGTGGCCCCCAGCCGCTCTCCCGTTCGGCTGGGGCTCCCTCCATCTCCTCCACCCTCCCTGGGGTACCCCACCATGGCAGAGGGGCTGGGGACAGTCCCTTCCCTTTCGGCTCCTGGGTGCTCACCTGCTTCTTGGCGTTGCTGTCGCTGTAGCATTTGTGCTGGAGGTAGGCAGCGCCCAGGACCTGCAGGTTGGGGTCGCTGGCTATCAAGTATTTCACTGCAGAGGGCAGGCCAATGTCATCAAACCTGGAAGACACAGGCAGGGGAGGAC